ATCAGCATAATCTAAGTCAGTCGCTCGCTTGTCCGGTAGCAGTTGTAGTCCATGACTTGGTAACCTTCTAAAGCTCTTGACAGGATGTCTTCAATCGCAAAATTGAAGAGAAATGGGGACATAGGGCAGTCCTGTCGTATACCGCTATTGACAGCCAATGGTGATGAAAGCTTGCCGTAGACCCTCACTCCGCCGGGGATGTGGAGGTAAAGTGCGCATAGGATGGCTGTGTGCTTTCCTGAGATTCCGTTCCTTAACAATCAACGCTACAGCGCAGGTCGATTAACCTAATCGAATGCGGCACGGATGTCTAAGTATGCAAAGATGGTATAGCTTGGTTCGAGCTGACGGTGTTCGAGAATTTGGCGGAGCCTGAATATTTGATCCACGTACCCACGGACAAGACTGAAGGCAGATTGTTCTTCTCGGTACCGCGGTTCACGAATCCGGGAACGTCTTCATACCAGAATGGTTGCGAAAAGCTTGGAATCAACCGAAATGTGACTAAGCCGTCGGTGATTGATATATGAATTGCTAGCACCCTACTTAAAAGTCGGGGCAGTAACTGAATCGCACCAGGAAGAAGACAACCTTCCTTCGTACCAGATTTTGGAGAAGTATGAGGTTAACTGGCTGATGATAACTGCGCTCCCATACTTGAACAGCTACGGAGGAAGTCCGTCTGAGTCGGCAACCTTAAATAGCTTCAGAGGTCGAATCGCGCGACGAACGCATCACTGGGTGGATCAGGTATGATGACCCAGGGTGAGCTGCTTGGTTCGCAGGCATATAAATATACGGTGATGGCCAGCCAATTCAAATAGAATTGAGTCTGGCCGATCGACCCATGCGTCTCTGTAGGATGACAATCGACGAACCATCCGCTTCTCAAAAAGTCTCACCAACACCATGTTTCTTGTGGCCAGTGGATCGAATGGGCTGGAAGAGCTTGCGAGTATTGCCAGGCACGGCAGCGGCCTCCATTTCCGAAGTGCGCTGAGACAACCTGTCTTCACAATCACTGCGTAGGCTTCCTTTGAGCTGCTGGATGCCATAACAGCGCACTTCATTATGGTTGGACTCCGCAGGAATACTCCTGCGGCCATCAAATAGATCTAAGGGGCACATGGAGATCCAGTCCATCGTAGGTTGTTGAGTTAGACCACAGAATAACTGCCCAGAAGAGATCATGGTACTCTGCATAAACGTTCGTTGTTCGTCTATGTCTTGTGGATGGTCACAACTGTGTGCATCGGCCAGGGAAACTTGATAGCTCTGCTGTACTGAGCGAATAATAATTATAACAATAACACGGATATTTCCCTTGAAGAGAGAAACTCTGTCTATAGCGGCACAGATCAATTTGTACAGTATAATCCATGCTCTTGCCTGGGTGACATGCGTAGGTGAAGTATTGAGATACGCGTTTCATGTATTAACATTATGGCGGGTAGTTGGCGCCAAAGACTATTTATGAAAACATTGGTTTTTATGTGTTTTTGGGCCCATCTTGGATTAGCTCATCAAGGGATTTTTCCCATGTGAATATACAGTTTAATGTAGATTGATCAAAGTAATTGGCGAGAATGCTTCTACATCTTGCCATATTGTCAAATGACTTGAGGGTTATTGGTAGTTTATTCCACATATAGCTATATCTGACTGAGAAGAAATTAGAGTGGGCGTTCTTTCTAACCTTCGGTATATTCCGTTTAAAATCTTTGTTGCGAAGCTCTCGAGTTGAGCAATGTTGTAAATTGAGTGTAGGGAGGTTGGAATAAGTCATTTTGTGTACCATTTTACAAAGCAGCAACAAGTTGTGTTTCAATCGTCGAATCCAAAGTGGTTCGAGATGAAGTTCATTAGAACGTTCACGATAACTCAAAGCAGAGTGTTTACCAATCAGATGTTTAGTAAATGACCTCTGCAGTTGCTCCACAGCAATTCTGTCACTCTTTCTCATATTTCCGTATATTATGCTACAGTACTCGAGGATGGGTCAAATGTGTACCTTGAATAGCTCAACTCTAGCATAAGTTGTGTGAACTTTGTTTGATGTATTGAACATAGACTGTCTGGTACGTGCTACATGGCATTGGGCCTGTTCGGAGAAGCTGAAGGTAGACGAGTACCTAATGCCAAGATCTCGTGTGGACAACTGTGTAGGGACGCGTTCATTTTATAGGGTGATAGATCCTTCGGGGTTGAAGCAGCCATAAGACATGATGCTTGGTTCCTTAGCCGAGCGGTTCATCACCCATGTGCAGTACCATGACTCAAGGGAATTTAAATCATCTTGAATGAGCAGTAATGTCCCGTGAAGCTCGTCATGCCGAAGCTTATAGACGATTTTGATACCGTCAGCAAATAACATTAATTTAGAAGGTTGTACAGTTGTGGCGATGTCATTGCTGTAAAGCAATAAGAGTAAGAGACCGGGCACGCTCCCTTGAATGACTCCACTGGTGACTGAGCGTGGGGAAGAGCGATAATCACCTAAAGTGATTACCTGATGACGATCACTCAGGTACGATGATGGCCAACCTTGGAATGGGTCCCGGATCCCAAAATTCTCCAACTTGTGTAACAATCGCATGTGCGGTACGCGGTCGAACACTTGATGTATGTCATGAACCAAGATTACTATTGTATAGCCGGAATCGATTGATTCTGAAATGTGATTAAGGTAATGTAGTTGACAGGTGGTGCAGGATCGCTTATTGAGAAAACCATGCTGCGAATAATCGATCAGGCCAATAGAATCAACAAAGTTCATCATCTGCATTCTGACCAGCTTTTCAAATAGCCGAGCGATTATCGGAGTGTGGTGGATTGGTCGGTAGTTATCAATCGTTCGTTTGGGACCCTTTTTATGCCGAGGCATAATTAATGACGTTTTCCATTGGTCTGGAAAGTGGCCAGATTCCAGCGATAGAGTGAACATGTTCATCAGTAGCAATGGCATATCAGACCGTACTAGTTTAATGGTGGTTGGTGAAATGTCATCAGATCCCAGCTGGGAAGATGGCCTGATTAATTTGATAACTTGATGGATTGCGTTAAGCGAGATATCGACTCTGCTTAAGAGTTTGTTTCGTTGAGCTCTGTGCACACAGGCACCGGGTCAGCTTCGCGACTCATGGTAGCGGCAAAAAGTCACTGAACGATTCACAGATTTCAGCTGAGTCATGCAGGAAGTAACCCCCACCATCAACAATTTCGGTACTCGGAGGAGAACGCTCACTGGTGCTACCATGTATTATTTTGACAAGCTCCCTATCATTGCAGCTTGTTCGCAGGGTTATATGTTCTTCATTTTATCATCATGTTAATTGCGTGTTTGACTCTATTGGTAAATTCATACATTTGTAAGACAAGTGAAAAATCATGGGTCCTTCTGTATCTTGCGGCTAACTTTCTGGTTTTCTTGCTGATTAAATGCTCGACGGAATCTTTGTAGACATGAGGGGTATGAATACATTATGGAGCAAGGAGGGCTATAGCATGATGGGTTTGTTTATACAACTGCTCCACAGCGGTGTACATACTGGTAGAGAGGAAAAATACATCCCAATCGAAGAAACAAATGAATTGCTGAAAGCATTCCCGTTTAATCTTATGGGTTTCAACTGGCGGTGTAGAGGCGAGTTTAGTAATCATTTGTGGTTGCTGCCAGGGACATCGTTTGAGATCTGGATCTATGGGTTGGGCAACGCTAATGGGAATCTTAAGTCCAGTAAATTGGCGGACCTGGTTGGACTGATAATCCATTGTGACCATCCCCTGCTCTCATGGAGGGAAGAAAAGAGGCGTGCAAGGTAGACGGTGGGTGAGATGACCAGCATAATTTCGGTAGGTTGAAATCGCCGGCAATAATCTTCTGGCTGTGTGGCAATTCTGATGCGAAGTTAAATGCAGAAATGATGTTGGTGATACTTACGTTTGATGCATTCGGTGCGTTGTAGATACATGCGAGCAGTGTGTAAGATGAGACACCCGCAACTGACAGCCAAGTAGATTCAGAGATATTTTCCAATTGTGAGTGGTCTATAGGTTTAGTTGGAAATGTTTTGCGTGCGTATCTAATGCACCCTCCACCTTTTCTATCGCAGCGATCTTTTCGAAATAGGTGGTAGTTTGGTATATTCAGAGTAGAGTCAAGTGCATCTGAAAAACACCATGTTTCTGTGACGAGGATCGCTTGCGGGTCACTGGACTGTACAAATGTGGTTATAAAATGAAGTTTGTTGATTATGGGTCTGGTATTAATCAGAACCACTGAAACTGTACTAAGTATTGGGGAATGATCGCTGTCCGTTGTGTGATGGCCTGAATTTTTGCGTTCAAGCATGGTGCACATGGTAGGTAATTGCGAGTATGGTGGGGCCGAGTTAGCCATTAATCTGTTGATAATGGTAGCATGTCATGTGTGGATATCGAGACAGTGGGGGGTACGACGGGAACCCAGGCATCATGCTTAGGTTGCCTTTGGTTTGACAATGGACTGGCCTTGTCATCTGGACAAATTGGAGGAAGTGTGAAACCAAGATGTTGAGCTCCGCCGGATGCATCTGAGATGGGCATGGGTGCAAGTCCATTCCCGTCGCCGATAAAAAATTGTTGTTGGAAAAAGCCGCTTGAGCGGTTGAAGGAACATGGAAAAGAGCGGGTGGTAACATAGTCCTACTGGTCGATATCCTTTCATTATCTGTGCACTTCCAGTGAATGTTGTGGAGTGTAGGTTGATAATTAGGAGTAGCCCAAAGACTGTTGGTATTGGTCTTAGTCAACATGAAAGATTGTTTGCCCAGATGGTTGTAGGAGGTTGGTCGATAGGGAATTTTGGGTGCCACGGAGTATTTAGTATCCATACATTTTTTAAAGACACAGGTCCCTGGATTGGATAAGTCGTCTTTGGGCGACAGTGAACTATGAATTACATCAGGTTGTCTATCCTTGGATGTGTCTTGTTGGTTTGGATCGGGTTGCGATATATTCAACTAGTTGTCATTACTCCACTGTTCCAAGCACTTAAACTTTCCTTTAATCCTTGTACATGAGGAGTTCGATGTAATGGGAGTGTTGTTGTCAGGAATGGGAGAACCCGCTTTACCCGTTCCTTGTGTAAAGAGTGTATCAGTGGAGTAAGAAAAGAAAGCTTTGGAGCTAGTTGACAACGTTGTTAGATTATCGATGTCTAAAGCAATGCGTCTAGTATCCACTTTGGATGTACTAGTCTTTTGGACGTTTGTCTGAGATTTCTCCAAGTGCTTAGTTATTTTATCCGGTGTTCGCGGCACCGTGCCAAGTTCAGACATTTGTAGGGGTGTCCTTTCTGGTTTACACAAAATGGCGTTAAATTGGGTGCACTGGCCTATGTATTTTGCACAATGGAGGAATCACTGCGCGACTTCCTCGCTCAAAAAGTTGAAAATGATTGGACAACAATGCTTCGTTAACTTCGTTAGTTTATCCAGACTCAGCCTGTCCAGAACATTAAAAGCAATCACGATTTTGCTCTACATATTCCTTCGTGCACTTCAGAGGCAACAGAGGCAAATAACTGCCTTGCTTTTCCCATTAGAACTGGATCAGTCTTCCCCAATGAGTTATTGATCTAGTCAAGCGTAATCAGGTGATATTTGAGGGGTTCAATGAGTGCCAGCGTTTTCCTCATCTCATTAAGTTGTGATTTTAAAGAAAGCAATTTATCACGTAATTCTGCGATGAGTATAGTTTCAGCCGAGGAACATCTTCGCTTTTCTTTTTGTGCCTCGCATCTTATTCCCTTTGCTGGTGGCGTGGAAACTACACTACGCCTATCTTGTTGAATACGGCGAGACTTCAGTGGGGCCATTGCGATCTAAGCTTGTCGAGATTCAGACTCAAGCGCCAAGGTCATATATTGATGCAACAAAACCAACCTTGAGTGATTTCTCGCAGTTGGAGATTGATAGATGCGTTAGATTCCACGGCTACGTTTGTCGATAACAGCCGCAATTCAACGAACGTGTCCAGACGTGCAACAAATCCAAGCTGCCGGACGCAGACGTCAGTTGAGCCAAACAATGCGAACTCCGAAATTAGCCAGAGAACCTCCACCAAATTTACACAAATTGAAGAATACATCAAAGGAAATTATCGGTGTACAATCCACACAGAAAATTCACGTATAACAGAGTAATCCGGAAGAAAAAGTGCAATGCAATGCGGTAAGATCATTTAGTTGTATCCATCTTACAGTGCTTGGTTTTTGGGACCCTCCGTATGTCTTGCAGCTATTCGCACAAATCAGAGCATGGTATGATTCAATAAATGCGAATCAGATTAATTTGCTGTCTTTTACACTATCACTTCATCTGAAACTGATTGCAAAGTGATCAATCTGAGCTCAAGTTTGGGACACATTTGGGGGTCACCAAGTAGCGGAACGTCTCCTCAAATGTTGAAAGCTAATGCTCAGCAGAAATAAACGATTATCTTCGCACAACGTGCGAAGTCTCTCGCCATTATCCGAAGATCGCTCATCCAGCGTATGGCGACCACCGAGTTGACTTTCTCATTACAATAGACGACCGACCCGTGCACTGAGATACTTAGCAAGGGCAACAATATCGGATTTGCAAGCTCTGCCCAAGAGCCGGTAAAGTACACGGTAGAAATCGTCCTTGACCGAGTCGGGACTGAAGACAGTGGGAACGTAAGCCAAGACCATAAACAAGTTGCCTCTTTCCTCAAGATATCTGTTGATACTGCGTGATCCCCAAAACCGAAGTGCAAACAGTTGGCTATTATTGGAAACCAGTCCAGCAGTGTGGTTTCAGCTTTGCTGCTTAAGCCTAAACCAACACCAGCTAAGTCTACTGCAGCTACCTCGGTGTCACTAGATAGACGTAGGTGAAACATGGCTCAGCGGTCTGTGGGAGATCACAGCTCAAATACAGTACTGAGGTCTTGTAAGCGTGCTTCGGAAAGACAGCAAACATCGATCGCAAGGGATTCCAAGCTATGCGCAATGCCAGCCTGCTGCCCGATCTGCATGAGTGTAAGTACACTGAAGGTTGCCAAGAGGAAGGAGGACCGAGACTGAGGGAGGGCTACTGGACAAACTCTGTTGTTTTCGGCGAAACCATGGTAAGTGAAATACGGGAGACATCAGTCAGCTGGTAACGGATACCAGTGATTGGTAACCAGTGAACGGGTGGCGTGTGAATAAGGTGTGCAGCTAGCAGAAGTTAAGGCAGCTGAATGCGATATAGTAGACGAATAACGATGATTTTGTCAGTGGACGTGATACTACTCGCTTGCCCAAGCAGAAGTAGGGAGTTTTCTCAGGCGAACCAACACCGAGCCGTTTACTAACTAACCTATTCGCAAGGCGGCAGGGCGAATGCAAGGAATCGCGCCCGTTGGGAGGCCGTCACTGAATATTCAGTTCATACACCTTTTGTTTGGTAAGTTAACAAACAAGGACCCAATCTTCCGCATGAAATCAACACAATTGCTTGAGTACAATGCCAGACCGAGTTGGAAGACTGCCGCTGAACCGCTCGCTGGAAAGGGTAGACTCGAACCACCCAGCTGGAACCACGAGGAGGTAGATCGGCAAGCCGGCCGAAATACTTGATAGCTGAAGTGGAACTGGAACGCTCAAGGTTGGATTTGCAGTACCCGCTCTGAGGGTGGAGTGCGACACGCAATCTCTATTCATACCTCGGTTCAACATGAAGTAGACCACGGTGATTACGAGCACAAGGACCGTATCCAAATTGAAAGTGGTTCAATGTTGCTCCTCCCAGCCTTGACACCCCATAACCAGTTTCGTCCTCTTTTGGACTCATCAGATGGAGATAGCCTGAGCTGCGGTTGAACTTGGGGCCTAGTCGTCTAACGCCGCCGCCTTGATCACAATGGCTCTAAGATCCGTGAGCAAGGCTTGGTACAGCTGTAAGGAATTAAAAGCTGGATTTGGTGTACTTGCTGTGTGGTTGAATTGAGACACGCAGTCTCTATTCAGACCTCGATTCACTTTGAGGCAGACCTCGGTCATTACGATCACAAGAACTGCATCCTAATTGGAAGTGGTTCAATGCTGCTCCTCCCAACGCTGACACCCATAACAGATTTCGTCCTCCTTTTGATTCATCAGGTGGAGATTGCCATCTGATGATTCCTAACGAGGACGAAACCGGTTATGTGGTGTCAGGGTTGTGAGGCGCTACATCGAACCACTTCCAATTCGTAGCGGAACCATTGTGGAGACAGGATCTGTCAACAGTTTTCAAGAGGTGTCCGAAATCATCATAGAACGGTGTGAACGACAGCGTAATGTTAATGATAGTCATCGAAGCCCCCTAAAGGAGCATAACTTCTTGCCTAGTGTCCTTGACCAGATCATTGGTAAACATTGTCAATGGGATTTACCCAAATTGGAACTCGAATCTGTTGCTGGTAAACCTTTTGGATGTTCATAAAGCAGTGTGAGTACTTGGTTGTGAAGAGGTTTCAGGATAGCATGAACGGCTCCCATATTCGTTGTATTATTTTCGAAACCGGGCAAAGGAAGCTATTATCGAGTGTGTTATTTTGCCTCATGATCAGGCCTACGTCGGAGCTAGAATGATGTTTCATGGTTCACTTAGTCAGAATCACGTGGTTGCCAGACCATTATTGATGGATTGTTGACGGATCTAAAGCAAATTACGCATGATTCAGAAGCCCTCTCTCGGCGTTCCATATAACTGGAGAATTGTCACATAGCTATGACTCAAAATGGGTTTCTATCTGTCCTTGCTTCAATTCCAACTATTGAGAGAACTCTACGGGTCTTGCTTGCGAGTGTGCAAATTAGTTGGGCAGGCGCAGCGGATATCATCTCGCAAGAAGTGAGAGAAATCATGTTCATGGACATGACTGAATTTGTCTGTGAAGCCCACATGTTGCGCAGCAGATTTGGACAGATGGCATCAGTGTCTGAGGTGTGATCGTCTGGTGTCCAAGATCGGTCAATCCCAGCACATAAAAGATATGAGGTAATCTTAAAACACTTTGCAAAACCCTGAGTGGAACCGAAAGCAGCTTGCTTAGCTTGTAATGGACAGCCCGATACTGTAATGTGTCGAGGGACTTTAGCTTTAAGTCTGCTTGATACATGGGAATTACTGAAACAGAAGCAAGTATATTTCAAATGTCTCGTTAATGGTCATCTGGCAACCACTAGCACATCGAATGGCACGTGCAACCAGTCTGGTTGTACAAATTGTCATCAATTATATTTTGAACGAAAGGAGGATACATTGCAAAAACAGATAGCTGTTGCATTGCTTTAGGCTCTAGAAAAGATATACGACAGCATAGTACCTGTAAGTCTAAAACGTACATGTGGATCAATTGAGACTTGTGCTTTACTAGTGAGTAGTTCAGATAACGGTCGTCATCAATCCTCATCACCAATTCACGTGAGCCGAGAGTGGGTAACACATCTCTGCTAATGTGCCGCAATGCAAATGGTAAGGCATTAAAGCAATGTAGACTTCACAACCATAAACAAGTAACCTGATGCTAATAGCACCTCTTTTGGTTGTTAACGTAGGGAGCTAAGGAGAAGAGGAGGGACGAAGAAACTCACAACACAAACGCCACTGGGGTCAACTTTTCGCCATGCCAGCCAGTTTATCCAACCACACGTGTTCACCATCCTTCGGTCCCCAGCCAGGCAGTCGGGAAACACCAAGCGAGGCCAAATTCGAAATGACTGACTTCATTCCTCTTGACCAAGTTACCGCCTGGCATCCCCTAATCTCCGTCCATCCATGCGTCGAGGGAGTCTGTGGGCTAGCATGCGCAACTGGTGGTGCAGCCATCGGAGGCTGATGCGTGATATAACGGTGCTGAGCGGTTCATTCGCTTTTCCTGCACCAAATAAGTGACCCTAAGCCCATTCATTGTTCACGCGATGCCCCCACCAGACATGAGCTCAGCTGTGAAGGCAACGTTCTCTGTCAACTTAATGGGCCATGTTTTGCAGCCTTACTTTAGGGTTGTACGCAGTTCTGCATTATAATCTCAGCCCTTCAGAGAAAGAACAAAGTCACGCCGGCGTCACAAATGGCGGTGATTAGCAAAAGTGCATCGAGTTTTTGCTATAGGGTTCGTGTTTTTACTTTTGGTTCCACTGGCTCTGAAATAGCGGCGCAGATACTTGAATTACTCGACGACTTTAAAGTTATCACCACCATGGACCAGTGCAGGTGTGCATTCATAGCAATCTTGGAGTACTTCTCATTTTGATGGTGCAAAGCATAACCCGAAACGACTA